TTTTCTTTCTTGGAATGCAGTGGCTGTTCCAGAATTTGCTGATCCTGATGAATTTGCTTATCCTGATGCACTACTGTTCCAGATAAGCCACTAACTGATTTTGTTCCTCAGGCTGTTTTGAGTGGTTAAAACCTTCTTGGAATTTAATGTTTTGTTCCTTAAGAGTTTTAGCTCATTTTGACATGTCTGATTTTACACCCTTGAATTTTAATATTATAGTGAACTTTTAGCTTTCTGTTGATCTATTATATTGTTCCTTCATAAATTGCTTTAATAACAAGCTACCTCTTCAACATTATTTTTTAGTTTTGTTTACTTGGAAGCCTGGACCTTTACTATTTGCTGCTTCAGTGGTTGTTTGGTTTACTAGGTCTTGCTTGAGTTCTTTCACAACAGCATAAATGTTGACATTTATTTCTGAAAGGATTTGCCCATCAATGATTTTCAGCCATTGGTTGTGTGCACTGTACATCTCCATATGTTTTGCAGCCCTTTCATTTTCTCCAGCATCCCTTTGAGCACAATCCCATATTTCTGGAAACAAAAAAAATGCTGGAAAAACTCAGCTGATCTGGCAGCATCTGTGGAGAGAAAGTAGAGTTAACATTTTGGGTCCAGTAACCCATCTTCAGGTTTCTCCAGATGTTTGATGTGCAAGTTGTTAAAAGGTTTTCCTGTAAAATAACAATCTTTTTATTGGATTGCTGGTACGGAGTTTGTTGTTCATCCTTACACAACCTCAATTATTATAATATGGTAGGAGGCCAATTAGTCCATTGTGTCTGCACCAGCTCTCTGAACATTTTAACATAGTGCCGATCTCCTGACTTTTTGCATAACCCCACACATTAAATAATCATTCAATGCCCTCTTGAATGTTTTAATTGAACCTGCATCAACCACAGTTCCAGGGAGTATATTTCAGACTCTAACTACTCGCTAATTGAAAAAGTTTTTTTCTTATCTCATTTGCTTCTTTTGAACAGCATTTCAAAGCTGTGCCCTCTAGTTCTCAATTGGTTTATGAACAGAAACACTTTCGCCCGAACAACCCTGCCCAGACCCCAGATAATTTTCAAAATATCTATCAAAAATCTCTCTTAAACTTTTCCTGTCCATGTAAAATTAACCCAACTTCTCCAATTTTTCCTCAAAACTGAACTGTTTCATCCCTGGAACCATTCTGGTCAGCCTCTTCTGCACACTCTCAAATGTATTCACATCCTTGCTTCTGAACCTTCTCTATTCAACTTCATTCTCAATTGTATTTAAAACTTGATGACTTTCATTACCACATTTCTTTTTCAAGTTAATTTCTATCTCATCATCCAGAGAACTCGGAATTTGTTTGTCCCACCTTTGCCTTTTGACAGAATATATCGTAAGTGTGCTCATAACATCTCCTTTAAAGTAGTCCATCATTCAGCCACTATTTTACCTGTTTCTTATCTCTTTGGTTGTCAATTCTGATGTGTTCAGTCTACGTACACCGTCGATCCTAATTGTTAAATAATCTTAGTTTTTTTTGTTTCGGTTTTCTACATTGTGGGAGGGATGGCAGTGGATCAAGAGTGGGCTGGTGAGAACGGGCCGGTGAGGCACCGGCAGTGAGAGCAAGCTGGTGAGGCAGCCGAGAGCAGGCCGGTGAGGCACCGGCAGTGAGAGCAAGCTGGTGAGGCAGCCGAGAGTGGGCCGGTGAGGCACCGGCAGTGAGAGCAAGCTGGTGAGGCAGCCGAGAGTGGGCCGGTGGGGCAGCCCAGAGTGGGATGCTTGCAGTGGCATGGCATGGACTAGAAAGCCCAAAGCGGGACTCTGGCAGAGGCATTCCGAGGGCCGGAAAGCCCTGAATGGGACTGCGGCAGTGGAAAGGAAAGTTGGACTCTCTTGTTATCTTCTTTTCCTTATCTTATTCTAAGTTCATGTGGATGGCGCAATGTATGGACGGTGAAGGTACACATTTTTCCCTGTTTTTTTACATTGAATACATGTGATAATAAATGATTTCTGTTGTGGTACGTAACCAACTGTCAGTACTGACAGCATATGCAATATATCCTCCGTATCAATTTTAAACCTTTCAAGTGACTGAGTTTCTTTCTCTGTCACAATGGTCTGGGCAGCATCTGCTTTGCAGGTAAAGACAGATGCAAGTACTCATTTAACACATCAACCATGCCTCTTGCCTCCATGTGTAAATCCATGCATTAATTTGGTCCCTAACCTCCTTTTACCATCTTTTTGCCATTGATGTGCTGATAAAGTTTTCCATGTTAACTGCTTGTTAATTATTCATAAGCTCTCTCTGCTTTTCATGTTTGCTTTCTCACCTTACCTCTGAACCTTCTCTATTCAGCTTCATTCTCAATTGTATTTAATATTTGATACTCTTCATTAGCACATTTCTTTTTCAAGTTAGTTTCTAGCTCGTCATCCAGAGAACTCTGGATTTATTTGTCCCATCTTTTCCCTTTTGAGGGAATATATCTTAACTGTGCTCGTACCATTTCATCTTTGAAAGTTCAACTACTATTTTACCTATTTCTTATCTCTTTGGCTGTCAATCCTGATGTGTTCAGTCTGTGTACACCTTCAATCCTAATTGTGAAATAAATCTTAATTTTTTTTGTTTTGGTTTTCTACATCAGACACACCATAAACCATAGCTATAAGTCTTTTGTCGGAAAATTGGGCAGTCTTGCATTAGAAGAAGGGTCAATGGACTCAAGGTGTTAACTTTGCTTTCTCTTCATAGATGCTGTCAGGGCTGCTGAATTTCTGCAGCAATTTCTGATTCTGTCTTGCATTAGATCCTGGTAGGGTCGGAAGCATCTAACCAATCAAAGGGAAAGGAGACAATGTAGGAAAAGGGTAACTGAGTTAGATGATTAGCCATGATCGTATTGAATGGCAGAGCAGGCTTGAATGTCAGAATGGCCTACTCGTGCTCCTATTTTCAATGTTACTACGAACACTATTTAAATATTTTAAATTCTGTTGGAGGTCTACTGGTTTCCAATTTAATCTAGACAACTTTGCAGAAATTTTGACAATATGCTTTTGACCATCCCTAGTTGCTATTGATCTGACATACGTACAATTTACTTCCCTTTCACAAGTGAGTTAAATTCATCTGGAAAGGGATTTTACTGCTTATGAGCAAGCTAGGTTTCAACATCTCTGACACAAACAGACACATTATGGGTTGTCTCATGCATTTAACATGATTTTAGACTGACAACGATTGTTTTACCTGTAGATTAACTTGCTTGTTAATTGTTCATGCATAATAGGCCTCATCACATATTTTCCATTGCTGTTCAACATATCATGTTAATGATAATAGTTTAATAAGCAATTAGTCATCAGGGATTGATTATCTCCGTCAATTTGTTTCAATGATAAAACACATTATAAGATAGGAAGCAGATTTTAAAGCAAACCAATTGATTTTTCTGACTGTGTGTCGCCTGCAGACCTGCACCAGAATATCTGCCCTGCAGAATAGCAATATTGCATGTACACAGAGAGTCCTTGAAGGTGAACTCTCTAAGGTACATCTTGCTGAAAAGTTACCACTGCTTTCACTGTGGTATGCTCTAAGAACACTAAATGGGCCTGGCTTCCTACTGAGTGCCTGTTTTCTCCTCCTTCCATAGGATATTGGTCTTCTATATTTTCCCTACTGCTTTTCCCTCTGATGCTGCAACCCAAGAGAAACTATAGTCCTCACCATTGGGAGAAACTGGTGTGCTTAGAGGCCTTTTTGAAGCACACATTTCCTTCCAAACATCCAAAACCTTAACATCCAACACCACTTTCTGATGATTTGTTTGACATTTCACAAATCCTCCGACAACACAGTGTACTACCACATTAGGATCAGCAACTAAGCAGTTTATAAAGGACCTCAGCTGTAAGTTGGATGTGATACCTTTAAACAGAGCCAGTAAGAGATGCTGGTGCTGCTGAATGCGTGCTCAGCTGTGCATATTTAAGGAAGAGTACTGATTAGAGTAGCAAAGTCCAAAAAGGCAGATCAGCTGTCAAAATGGAATTAGACTTTGAGTATGTCACAATTTCTGCACATTGCATGCCTCTGGTTCACACTCACATGAAATGCATATTACTCTTCAGGCATATCTTAAGACAGTGTCAATCATGACGTGTTGGATATATGACGCAGCAATATTGGAAGATGCATTGTGCATGGCCTTCCATTAAATTTTATCTTCAAACAGGGAACCCACTTTATTGTTTCACCATTCTTTGTGTGTAACTGGTAGATTTATATATGAGAAAATAATGTAACACATGCTATTGCTTTCTACAACGTGGCAATTAGTTCATTTCCAGAGTGGCCCTGCACAAAAGCACTTAATATTTTTAACCTCAACTGAGTCCTGTAGTGCTGAAACCACCAGAATGACAGGGCCAAGTTTTAAATCAGTGTATTTTCACCCAGAAATTTACATGAAATTATTTTAGAATGAAATCAAGATGTAACATTGTGTTACAATTCTTGAATAGCTTAAAGAAGACAATATGTTGGAATTTACATGTTACTTATTTTAATATGATTAATATGTTTGAAATAACATTATTTCCGTATATTGCCAGATCAAGAATGGCAAAGGCCAGGTGCACAGTACTTTCATCTTAGATTCGAATCAACCAAAACTGGATGAATAATTTCACTACCCACACTGATCCCCTTCTTGAGAAAACATGCCCATTTAATTATTAATTGTGCATGAATATGAGAAATATTGCTTGAGAACCTTGAATACTTTAGGTACTTAAGAAATTCTTTAAGTAACAACAGAGCAGAACTATGTCAGTCTGAATCAAATTTAGCTATCAGAAACAAAATGTCTGTAAAACTAATACATTATCTTAACTTAAGGCTGAAATATTTTCCAATGAATAAGAGTGAAATTGCTACTTTAAAATCAAACACTCAAAGATTCTCTTTAGGGTAAATGAAATTGGGTTAAGTTTACCTGTGTGTTTTGAGTGGGAATTTGAAGTATTAAAGCCAAACTGCTATAGTCAAAGTTTTCATCCAAGGCTAGGAGTGCTCCATGAACACCACTTTCCATGAGGTTGTTTGCATAGTCTCGAAGGCCAATGGACAGTATCCACCTGATTACACGGTCATTGCTCCACACTATTGCATCTAAAAAATGTGAAACTGTAACATGAGCATAAACTTTCTTTTATATTTTATTAAGATTTAATTTTTAACTTAAAGGGTGCAGTCTCTTCTATTTCAATCTATACTGCAAAAGAATTGATACCCTGATTTTCAAATGCTTTAATTTTTTTCTCTGGCTTTGTTATATCTCAATGTGTAATGCATCTGTCTTCTATCAGGCTATAACTTTACCATTTTTCACCATTCAAATATCCCAGAGATCATAATTAATGCATCACAGTTATATAGAATCACAGAATCCCTATAGTGAGGAAAGAGGCCATTTGATCCATCGAGTCGGCACCGACCTTCCAAACAGCATCCTATCTAGACCCAGCTCCCCACTTTCCATCCTTGTAACTCCACATTTACCATGGCTAATCCACCTAACCCGCACATTTTTGGACTGTGGGAGCAAACGAGAGCACTTGGCAGAAACCCGTGCAAACATGGGGAGAACTCCACACAGACAGTCACCCAGGGCTGGAATCAAACCCGGGTCCCTGGCAGCAGTGCCAATCACTAAGATATTCCTTAAAAGAGTCAAATGGCAAAGTCAACAGTTTGACTAGTAAATTTTGTAAGTAATTATCCATGCTCAACTGATGAAAGCAAGATAATGTCAGAAAGGTAGATTTTGGTCACAGCCAGACTTGGTACTTCATGTGTTCAAACTAAAAGTCTCCGAGTCTTATCTGCATGTTCAGCATTCGCTGCAGATTGCATCTCTGCACTCAGCTCAGTCAAATCAACACATCAATGACATGCTACCTACCTCAGGATGCAGGAATTGGAGTGAGTTACAGGAATGATTGCCACCTCAATGGAATAGAATTTGTCAGAAAATTGCAGATGGAGTGCAGCAGGGTGGGTAAGTGGCAAATGCAGAGGCACTGCCATGGTATTCAGTGTCGTACTGCTTTGCTGCAACTCTCCCAGCTGTGGGGGAGGTATCAGGCAACATGCTTACCCATGGGCCCTGTGGCCATCATAAAATTCATGCTGCTTCTGAATCCAGAAAAACTTTGAAACAAATGTAACTTACCTCAGTCCTGATCTTGGTCCCTCTCATTGAGTGCCTAATTCCACCAAAACGTCCCTCAGCATGCACTACATCCTGAATATTCTAGATATGAGAATAAGCCGTCAACCCAACTTAACTCACTGATGTACACTGGGTTCCTGAGGAAGTCCCAACACATGCACATCCACATGATTTATGCAGGAATTTAATCTACTGATTGCCAGTTTTGCTCTGCCCAGTAGACTTCATGATTCTTATGACTTTGGGATCAGGTAGGCAGAACAGTGGAGACATGGGATATTTGCACTACATTTAGCCCGATTTCTGCACAAGTTAATTAGAATTTTACATAGCAGGTATAATGTGGAATTCTAAATAAATCAACTGGACTGTCAAAGCACAAAGGCAACCATGTACATCCTACAATGTTGAGTTCCCTCCCAACAATGTTAACAGCTCTGTTAATGCAATGTTAATGCAGTGATATTCCCCTCTTAGATTTCTTCACCCCCCAATACCAACAAAGTTCAATATCTCATCTCTTTGACACATCCAACATTGCTTACCCATTCCCTTGGCAGCAAATGCTCAACCCTCCTGGAAACTCCTCTCTTGATACACTTTCTGGATCTCTGATTTAAGTCTGGCTGCTGTGAGAAGAGTCAGCATTCCGGAAGTGTGTGCAGGGGTGAGGAGGGTTCAGCATTTTTGTGGGGTGAACAGCGACGAACAATGTCAAGAAGGTTAATTGGTGACTTGATAGAGACATACAAGATGATCAGAGGATTAGATAGGGTGGACAGTGGGAGCCTTTTTCCTCGGATGGTGATGGCTAGCACGAGGGGACATAGCTTTAAATTGAGGGGTGATAGATATAGGACAGATGTCAGAGGTAGGTTCTTTACTCAGAGAGTAGTAAGGGTGTGGAATGCCCTGCCTGCAAAAATAGTAGACTCGCCCACTTTAAGGGCATTTAAATGGTCATTGGATAAACATATGGATGATAATGGAATAGTTTAGGTTAGATGGGCTTCAGATTGGTTTCACAGGTCGGCGCAACATCGAGGGCCGAAGGGCCTGTACTGCGCTGTAATGTCCTATGTTCTATGAAATGAGGGTGAGCATGGGCATTGTAGACAGCTGGGTTAGGGCTAATGGGTACAATCTTATAGGGGTCTGAGTGATGTAGGCTATGCTGAGAAACATGGCAGTATCTGGAAAGAAGTTAAGCAAGGCCTATCTCAACATTGGGACCATCTCGCTCCATCTTTTATGATTTTGACAAGTAGTGTGGTATTTTTCTCACTAGGCAGTGGCACTTTGCCAATTAAGAAAGATTATTGCTTGTTTCATGCCTTATTAGTGGACCAACTCGACTCATTATTAGCCTCCTATCTTAACAAACATGCTAAATGTGATGATGCTGAGAAAACTAGACATGGAAATGAGAGTGGGTACGTGGCAACTTCAGCTTGTTGCTTAATCTGAAGGGTGTCTATATTGCTTAGGACCAAAATGCCTCTCAGGGCATGATTCATGGGCAACAACCACACAGATCCCTCATTCATCGACACTGGCACACAGAATTTGCCAACTTCGCATGGCCATTATCAAACTCTTCAATACACTTGCAGGTCATTCAAGAAGGTCAGTGTTGTATTGCAGGGTGCACTAGCAACTCATATTAAATAGCTTCAGCGGAGTTACTTTACACACATGGACATGCCCTCAGCTCACAGATTGGACCAGTCTGGATTGCAGGACAGCTCATTTGATCCCTGAGTACTCACTCACTTAGCACCTACCTGTATGCTTGCAGCATCGTGCCTTACCTTTCAATGCCATTACACAGTTATGCCTAACCTTTGTTTCCTGAAAGCTAGCCAATCTTCTATCCAGTGACACATTACCCTCTGCATCATGAGCTTTTATTTTCCCAAACAAGCTTTGTTGTGGGACCTAATCAAATGACTTCTGGAAATCTATAGTACATCCACTGTTGCCCTCTATCCATTGCATTTATTACATCCTCAAGTAACTCCAGTAAATTGGTTAATCACGATTTCACAAAATCATGCTGATTCTGCCTGATTACCTTGAACTTTTCTAAGTGCCTTGCTATAACATCTTTAATAGTAGCTTCGAACAGCTTCCCAAAGAACAAAGAACAATACTGCACAGGAACAGGCCTTTCGGCCCTCCTAGCCTGCGCTGACAAATTTTGACCTTCCATACTAACACGGTCTTCACTTGCAGGATCCATATCCCTCTATTCCCTTCCTGGTCATGTATTCATCCATGTGCTTCTTGAATGCTGCTATTATGTCTGCTTCCACCACCTTCTGTCAGCACGTTCCAGGCACTCACCACCCTTTGTGTGAAAAACTTGCCTTGCACATCTCTTTTAAACTTCACTACATCACCCCCACCACCCACCTCCCCCCATCCACCCCCACCCCACCCCACCACCACCCCACCACCTTGAACATGTCTCCACTAGTAATTGGCCCCTCCAATCTGGGAAAACACATCATACTTTCCACTCTATCCATGCCATTCACAATCTTATAAACTTCTATCAAGTCGCCCCACAACCTCCTGCGTTCCAGTGAAAACAAACCTAATCTGTCCAACCTTTCCTCATAGCTAAAATCCCCCATACCAGGCAACATCCTGGTAAACCTTTTCGGTACCGTCTCCAAAGCATCCACATCATTCTGGTAGTGTGGTGACCAGAACGATACACAATATTCCAAGTATGGCCGAACTAAAGTTCTATAAAGCTGCAGCATAACTGGCCTATCTTTATACTCAATGCCCCTTCCAATGAAGGCAAGCATGCATTAGGCATTTTTACTACATTATCTACCTGCACTGCCACCTTCAGTGATCTGTGGACCTGCACACCCACATCCCTCTGCATAGCAATACTCCTAAGGTTTCTGCCATTCACTGTATAATTTCCACCTACGCTTGACCTTCCAAAATGCATCACCTCACATTTTCTTCTATTAAACTCTATCTGCCGTTTTTCTGCCCATGCCTGCAACTGATCTAAATCCCGCTGTATCCTGTGACAATTCTCCTCACTATCTGTGACTCTTTTCTTCGTCTGCAAATTTACTAATTAGACCAGCCACATTTTCATCCAAATCATGGTCAAACATAGATCACAAATAGCAGAGGTTCCAGCACTGATTCCTGTGGAACACCACTTGTCACAACTCTCCATTCCGAAAAGCATCCTTCCACCGCTACCCTCTGTCTCCTATGACTAAGCCAGTTCTGTATCCAACTTGCCAGCTCACCCCTGATACTGTGTGGCTACACTTTTTATACCAGTCTGCTCTGAGAGACCTTGTCAAAGGCTTTACTGAAGTCCATGTAGACAATAGCAACTGTTTTTCCCTCACCAATCATCTTCGTCACCTCCTCAAAAAACTAAATCAAGTTAGTGAGGCACGAACTCTCCCGCACAAAACCATGCTGTCCACCATCAATAAGTCCATTTGCTCCTAAATGATTACAGATCTTATCTCTGAAAATGTTTTCTTATAATTTCCCTACCACCAATGTGAGGTTCACAGGCCTGTAATTTCCTGGATTACCTCTGCCACCCTTCTTAAACAATGAGATAACATTGGCTATTCTCCAGTACTTTGGGACCTCACCTGTGGCCAAAGAGGATCCCAATGATAGATGTTAAGCTAACTGGCCTGCAGTTCCTTGCTTTCTGTCTCTGTCAGTCTTTGAATAAAAAGGTTACATTCACTATTTTCCAATCTAATGGAACCTTCTCCACGTCTAGGGAATTTTAGAAAATTGGAACGAATGTATCAATTATCTGATTAGCCACTACTTTTAAGACCCTAGGATCTGAGGATTTGTCAGCTTGCACCCCCAATGATTTATAGGTACCACGTCCCTGGTGATAGTAATTTTTCTGAGTTCCTCCTTCCTTTTCATTTCTTAATTTACAGCTATTTCTGGGATGGTACTAGTAACATCCAGAGTGAATACTAATGAAAAATACCTGTTCAATTCATCTTCCATCACCTTATTTTCTATAATTATTTTTCTGCCTTTTGCAGAGGTCTTGTAATTTGAAGGGGCGGTGCCTTTTGCCAAAGGCAGGGAGCTGAGGCTCTTGCTGGAGTTAGGGTATGCCAAGGGCTAGAGCACATGAGATTGCCTGTGGTCATTAGCTGAAGCTTTTTACCGGCCTGTGGGCTTCAAGCTGGGGCTTCAGCTGGGGTCTGTTTTTTTTGCTAGGTCCTGCGCTTATGTCAGGGTGAGGGCATCTGTCTGATCCACTGGGGAGGACTGCTGGGGGCGAAGATGAACATCTGCCAGAAATTCTTGAAATCACTGAGGTAAAGAATTACTTAAAAATGAATGTGAAATCTTAACTTAAGGCTGCATAACTTCAGGAGCTACTATATGGGGAAAATGTAGTGGCTGTGATTGTTAAACTTGAATCAGAAGTTGTGTTTCGAGATGCCGTTAAAAAAAAAAGTAGTAATAGCCTGGTTAAAATATTCCTGTTTTTGTCCATTTTATTGAAATTCATTAGCTATGACTTCGAAAGTCTGTGGAACAGTTGTTTTCGGCGATGGCTTCTTCTGTAGTCTGTGTTATCAATTTATGACAGTTGTAATGTGCCAATTTAAATATTGTGTCATTCTAGGAAATTAATACTTCACTTGAGTGTTGCAGCTTTACATTTAACGGAAGGTTAATGATCATTGAAGATATTATTGAATTCTTCTAATTCTGTTTCTATGTGATTCCAAATACCCGATACGTCATACAGAAGTATTGTTACAACATGACTGCATCACCCTAATGAATAAGTTTGTGAGAATGAGAAAGGAGCCCCGAAAACCAAAACATTGCCTCCAAAAATCTAATAGGAGTGCTCCAGAAAACCTCATAAAGAGCACTAGAAAAGTGTTATGTTTTGTGCCTGGTTTACAGAGTCGAAAGTTTACAAATACATAACGATATCCTCTAGTTCTTAAATATTCACTAAATAGTTATTAAAACATGGTAAGGAGTTATTTTTGAGTGAGTGACTAACAGATACATTTTGTTTTGTTTGAACTACCATTGTTAAACTGGCACGAAGATACATTTTATATTCCGAGTTCACATGTTTTCATGTCCTCTTATTTCCATCCCAGATTTAAGGCCCCTTTTTAATGTGCAATTGTCATTTGCAGAGGAGAATTTCAATCTGATAGTTAGGTATTCTGTTCAACACAGTGTGGAGCTGGAGGAACACAGCAGATCAGGCAGCATCAGAGGAGTAGGAAAGTTGACGTTTCAGGTTGGGACCCTTCTTCAGAACTGGGGAGGGGGAAGGGAGCTGGGAAATAAAGAGGGACAAGGGGTGGGGCTGGGGTAAGGTAGGTGCGTTTGTGATAGGTGGATGCAGATGGGGGTAGTGGGGATTGGTCGGTGGGAAGGGTGGGACGAATAGGTGGGGAAGAAGATAGACAGGTTGTATCAGGTCAAGAAGGGGGGGATGAGAGGAAGGTTTGGACGTGGCATGAGGCCGGGGTGGGGAGATTTTAAAACTGGTGAATTCTATGTTCAGGATATCGGGCTGTAGGCTCCTGACGCAGAGTATGAGGCGTTGCTCCTCCAGTTTGCATGTGGCGTCATTGTGGTATTGGAGGAGGCCCAGGATGGACATGTCATCAAGGAAGTGGGAAGAAGAGTTAAATGGTTAACGGCCGGAAGGTGTTGTCGATTCTTGCGTACAGAGTGCAGACCAGGTTGGAGGATATACAGGTGAACCCCAGTTGGATACGGAAAGTTTGCTTTGGGCCTTGGATGGAGGTGAGGGGTAGGTGTAGGGGCAGATGTAGCACTTCCTGCGGTTGCAGGGAAAGGTGCCGGGTGTGATGGGATTAGTGGGGAGTGAGGAGCGGATATGGGAGTTGCGGAGTGAGCGGTCCCCATGAAAGGCAGATAGGGGTGGGAGGTACGAATTCTGTTACTGCCTCCTCCCTATAAAATGTTAATCTTTATTCAGACTGAGGAGTTCTTATTTTGAAAAGTGAAAAGCTGCGGATGATAAAAATCTGAAAATAAAACAGAAAACATTGAAAATACTCAGCCTGCCAGACAGCACTTTTGCGGAGAGAAACAGAATTAACAATTCAGATTGATGACCTATTGTTAGTATAACAATTTGAAATATTAATTTTTTCCTCTCTCCACAAATACTCCCTGACCTCATATTTCCAGATTAACAAAAAAATCTTTTTAGTGCTTATTTAGAACATGACTTTCTTTATGGGGAATCAATAATTCGGAATATCAATGAAGGAGGAAGAAAGAGAAAAGAGCATAGATAATTATGTAAATACAGTCACCCAGCTCTTCTGATTAGAAGATTGCCATTGCTGAGGCATAGACTAGAGTTGCTTGTCAGAGCCTTACGGATGTCCCAACACTACTGACTCTGCAAGAATCGCCCTGGAATTTGAAGCGTCCCATGAACTATTACATAGGTTTGATAGCCTCTGAAAACCTCCTGGTTTTCGTGTGAGACACATTTGAAGGTTTCTGACTTACTCAACTTAAGGCCCTGTCATCTGAAATTTGTTGCTTTCGTATTTCTCTTTCATAGCTGGAGGTGAATATCTTTGGGTACTCTATTAGCCCGCTGACATTCAAAGGACAGTGAGTTTTTAAAAGTATTTATAAAAATGTTTTAAAAGTATATATATCAGTATTTTAATGGGAATTTAAGCATTTCTAAACATAGACTACTGTATAGATCCATAAATAAATTCAAAAATGAAACATAAGCAGCGGCACATATTATATAATATATTAAAATTCGTATGCATAGCAATGGTCCCCGGAAATATTAAACTAATTACTTCTCATGCTTCTATTAGATTTTCTACATAGTACTTCAACATACATTCTGACCTATTGTGAGGAATACCACATATTTTACACATATAAAATATTTCCATTAATCAAAAGGCAAATGTCTAATGACCACTTGTTTTCAAACAGCAGTAATAGATCTCTCACCTTTAATTTCATGTTGGCTTAATTCTCTTCTCTTCTCCAGTTCTTTTCGATCATAGTTCAACCGTTTCAAGCACATAATACCATACTGTAGACTTGTCCTGAACAAGAACAATACAACAATTTTGACAATTATTTGCAAGTTGCTTTCAAAATAAATTAATAAAATTCAAAAAGTAGTCAGGCAAATGTTGATAATAAATGAGCGGATGAATATTTTGGCCTTGAAAATCAAAGAGCCCTTACAGTCATAGAGTACTACAGCACGGAGACACGCCCTTCAGACCAAACTGGTCCATGTCGACCAAAATGTCCATCCATGCTAACCCCATTTCCCAGCACTTGGCCCATATCCTTCTAAACATTTCCTTATCCATGTATTCGTCGAAATGCCTTTTAAATGTTGTTAATGTACCCGCCTCAACCACACACACACACACACACACACAAAAATCTATGGGGTGAATCTGTATTTGCAGACACATGCTATTTTCTTCAAAAAGCACACAATTTATAGACAGTCAGTCAATGTTGTATTTTACAAATTCCTACTTCAGAAATAAAACCAGTTTGACTCCAAACCAAAACACAAACAGATTCTAAACAAGGCCTCACGCTTAACACGCATTGTCTGACCTAAAATGTCACCCCTTCGTTACGCTGATAAAACCTTTAGTTCTCTCAGGACAGTGACTTCAAAGGAATTTGGGGATTTACATATACATAGTAATTAAAACCTTCTAACTGATTAAAGATTTAACAGCATCTTACGTTTGTTTAGTATATCCTCATCAGTGGTGTGACCCTTTGATCTTTTACTAATAAATTATGTGTCTGACACTTACATCTGCAGGAGTAAGAATCTGAAAGCTTGTGTTTTCAAATAAACCTGTTGGATTGTAACCTGATGTCATGTGATTTCTGACCTTGTCCACCCCAGTCCGACATTGGCACCTCCACTTCTTGAATAAGGGCACAACATTCATTGCCCTCCAATCGTCCGGGACCTCACCCATGGCTCATGATGATGCCCTGCAACTTCTTCTCTAGACTCTTGCAGGGTTCTTGGATATATCTGATCAGGAGCTTTATCCAACTTCATACATTCTAATACTTCCAACACCTACTCTACGTGTCCCCAAGATATTGCCACTAACTTCCCAAGTTCCCAAGTCTTCATTGAGAACCTCACCCATCTCCTGTGGTTCCACACATACATGTCCACTTTGGTCCTTGAGGGATCCTATTCTCTGTCTGGTTATTCTTTTTCTTTTAATGTACTTAAAGGATCTCTTTTGATTCACCCTAATCTTCTTAGCCAAAGCTATCTTTGCCCCCTTTCTGCCGTTCTGATTTCCTTCTTCAGTAAATTACTGTATCCCCTATATACCTCCAGGGATTCCCTTGATCCCAGCTGCCTGTTCCTGAGCCATGCCTCCTTTTTTTCTGGTCAAAGCCCCAATATCCCTTATCATCCAGGGTTCCCGACTCCTGACAACCTTGCCCTTCACCCTCACAGGAACATAGAGACCTTGAACTCTAGCTATTATACTTTTAAAGGCCTCCAACTTACCAGAGGTCCCTTTGCCTGCAAACAATCCCTGCAACTCCAATCAACCCCTGTAAGCTCCTGTTTAATTCCATTAAAATTTGCCTTGCTCCAATTTAGAACTTGAAACTGTGGACCAATTTTGACCTTCTCCATAGCTATTTTAAAATTAATAGAACTATGGTCACTGGTCCCAAAGTGCTCCCCCACTGTCACCTCAGTCACCTATCCTGCCCTATTTCCCAAAAGTAGGTTGAGTTTCGCCCCTTCCCCAGTAGGACCCTCTATGTACTGCTTGAGGAAACTTTTCTGAATACATTTAACAAATTCCACCCCATCTAAGCCCTTAACACTATGTCAGTCCCAATCTATGTTAGGAAAATTAAAATCTCCCACTGTGACAGCCCTATTTCTCCTGCAAGTCTCCGCATACTTGCTCCTCTAATTCCCGTTGACTATTTTGGGGCCTATAGTACAACCCCAATAACATCACCATCCCATTCTTATTTTTTACCTCCACCCACAAAGCCTCAATGAATGATGCCTCAGTTATTTCACCTCTGACTATTGCTGTGATACTCCCCTTAATCAAAACTGCAACCCCCCCTCCCCTCTTTCCTCCACCTCTGTCACACCTAAAGCACCTGTACCCTGGCACATTAAGCTGCTAGCCCTGTTCCTCCCTTAGCCATGTTTTTGCAATGGCTATAATATCCCAGCCCCACATACCTATCCACGACCTGAGTCATCGGCCTTACCTATCAGCCCTCTTGCATCGAAATAGGTGCAAATTAATCCAACAGGCATTCCTCGCTCCCTGTCCTGTTCCAGCTTGACCTGTCTCTTGAACTTGCTTTTTCTGATTACTGTATCTCCTTCCAGCCTCGCACTTGCCTCTCTGCTGTTGAGGATTTACACCCCTTTTGGTAGGAATGTTGATTATGGGTTAGGCAAATGTTGATCATAATTAAGCAGATGGATATTTTGGCCTTGAAAATCAAAGAGTCTTTGATTATGGGTTACCTGTTGGAATCTGCATGTCAATGATCTCTGGTGATGATCACACCAAAGCTTCAGGAATTTAAATATACAGGTGGATTTTCACATCACAATTGTTACATTTGAAGAACTCTCCAAGGTTACAGACTTCAGACAGCAGTATCTAATTTCTGTACTGCAGAAACAACAAATTGGGCATTGGCCCCTGTTAGCAGGTGGCTGAAAAATGCAGCCAGCATTTTTCAAATCTTTGGGGATCTAGAGTGCAATCCAGACCAGAGCGCCAAGTTGGGTCCCACAACCATCAGAAAATGGGCTGGCTCACCTGTGTTCAAATGGTGACACAGAATCACTGTTCTCTTACCAGCCTTGGATGACTAAAATGCATTCCTTCCTTCCTAGTTTTGTCTCCTCTTACGTCAGTAATGTTCTTTGGAGCAGGCAGAGCTCTGCTGGAGAATGCCATGAGTTTGGGGCACAGCATATAACTTTTGGTAGGAATGTACTGGAGGATCTGTAGATTTTAACTCTTGAAGTCAACCCATTAATAAATAAAAATGAACTTCCATAACTACAAAACAGTTTATTTTACATAAGGAGAGAGAATTTTTTAAAAAATCAAACATACCGGTGAAAGCTATCCACCATTTTTAAATGAATACGAAGATCTTTCTTTGTCAAATGATCCAGCATTCTAGCATCTACTAGGCATTCCATGAAGTAGCTGCGATACTGCGGTAATCCTAGGCTAGGAAGCCATTCATTACCAATCCATTCATGATTCATGTCACCATAAGCCAATGTCTGACAGAAAATGCAAGAATAAGTTTATCCAAATTCATTCGCCCGTAAATGAGTTAACAAACAAATAGTTGATAGCACATAACCATGTAGCCTTCTTTTTCCTAATTTCAGCAACAGCATGAGTAAACAGTGGCAGTATGTCAAGAAGTAGCATTATAGGAATATTTCTGTCATTATAGTGTGTTGAACCCTTCCCACCTTTCAAGGATTGATTGATAAATCTGAATGAAAAATGTGATTATTACAATTATTAATAAGGGATTTGAGTAGCATTTCATAATGATACATTGTAATGGCAGATATTTGACATATTATTACTATATTTGTGGGAAATAATTTCCACGGTACTAGTGAGACTATTTTGCATATATGGGCTGGTAGAAAATGGCCTGTTGCAGCACTGCTGATCGTCTTTCTGGCCTGTAGAAAAGTTTTGCATTTTTAAAGAAACCTTAATCAAATACTTATCACAGACCAAAGCCCTAAGTTAATTTATAGATCACTTCCCACTGTTAGAGCAACCCTGGATGCCAGGAAAACACCAGTGTTTCTAGGTCCAACATTATTAGGGCACAATTGAAGGGAAATAAATCCAATGATATACTTTTGTTATTTGCATTTTCACTACAAAATACCAACATGTATTTGGAATCTTGAAACTGGCAATGAACATTAAACAGCTAGAAAATGTATTGCATTCTGCTTGGATTGTTGGGTACCAAGTATAATTTCAGTGAAAAATTCTATCCAATCAACTTAAGAAAATGGAAACATTTTTAAAAATCACAACACATATAGAAGTAAATAGCACAAGTGAAGAAGCAGTTTTAAAAAATATCCTGAAATAATTAATCTTACTAGAGCAAAGCAAGTGGGAGAATAACTAGGAAGAGGGAAATAAGGAACTGTGAATTTTTGACTTTCTCTTTACTGTCTATATTCAATTCACAACAATTTTAAACTGTGCACTATTCAGTTTTATTGTACATACAGAATTTTGCACCTGACAGCACACATGCACAGGCTATGGACTAATGTTTACTGCATTGTTTATTGTTGATGTTGTTTAGGGAAAAGAAATATGAGAAACAGCACAATATGGAAAGTGGGAATATTGATGTCAAGAACTCCCAGATGTGTCAAAGCAACTCTAAGAAATATGCCATCTAAATACAAACATAACCATCTGACTTCATTGATATATTGATATCTTGCATTTATTGCTTAAGCATTTATTGATATTCTCCAAAATTTATTAAGTGATCACTTTACATGACAAAGAAACACATTTATACTTTGTGGGACCAAAGTCTGAATATATAATGGGGTCCTGTGAAACTAAGTCTACTAAATATACAGTAAAAGAACAAGACATTTTGCCAAGTCCATGGGTCAATACAAGTTGATACTGAGTTGGCAGAGAAGTTATAATCAGGCAGGTTGGCATGAGGGTAAAAGGGATGTTGGGGTGGGTAGAAAGGCATAATTTGAAATTAGGGCTATAAAGAGCCATGCGGGTGTGTAGAGAAGTATAAGTTGACATGGCAGTAATGAGAGAACATGAATGGGGGGAGAGAGGGTGTGTGTGACCTGTGAAGTTTGGATTGCTGTTCTTCGTTTTATTTTCAGCTGAGACAAAGTGTCAGTGGACTGTGGTCAGCTTTTCATACAGCCTGGTTCCACATCTGGCAGCCCTTGTTGTTGCTTCTGTAATGTACTTCAGAACAATGGGACTGACTCACATTAACACCTGTCACTCCAGAATGAAAATCTGTCTGTCCAAAACACTCTCCAGAGTCAGATTTGTGGAGTATTTTTCTGACATTATATTCCGACTCTGCAGTGAAAATTCAGGCCTATGTTTTATTCTTACAGAATAGCCACTTGACATCAGATACCTTTCCAGGATTAGGAGTAGAAACTCATGACAGGCTTTTTGCTGAATTTATGTTAATGGAATAACCCCACAGATTTTCAGCCTGTGTGTCTTCCGTTTCTCTTAGGTACATGCAGATAAGAAACGTTATTCTACTTCAAGTGTATTGAAACTAGAAACGATGGTCTGACTAAACATAACGTACAAAAAGTGGACTGCTCATAAGATGCTTTCCGCTGTACATTATAAAATCAATTTCATAACACTGAGGAGTAAACCACATATGCACTAAAAATCTTCAAACTAAATTATGTATTTTAACATGCATTACCTGAGCCCAACTGCCTTCTTCAGACTCCTTAAGAATTACCAGAAAGTACAATTAATAAAAATGCAAAGTTAAAAGGCTATATGATTCTTAAACGTAAATTGTAAAATATGTATTTATGAACAAAAAAGTTTCACAATGAGTGTTTATTAAACTAATTGTAAAAAGCTGTAAGCCGGAATATTATATAAAAAAATTCTTCCAAAATGAAATACTGTACACCTGAATGTTTTCATAAACTGTGTAAATACTATTACATGAATACATACTATTACTGAAGATGTACAGAACAGAAACAGGCCATTCAGCGTAACCAGTTCATAAGCATTCTCTGATCTTTTCTCAAATATTTCTATATTGCCTGCTTCCTCAAATTATTGTCTAGGTTCCCTTTAAAATGCATCTACACTATTTGTTTGAACCATTGCTTCTGGTAACAGGTTCCAAATTCTTTACACTCTTTGGATAAAGAAGTTTCTTCTCAATTCCCTGTTGGACCTCTTGGTAAACATTTTATTTTGATGGGCTTTGGTAATGCTATTCTTCACGAAAGGAAACATTCTTTTTGTATCTGATCTATCAAAACCTTTAATAATTTTAAAGATCTCTGTTACATCACCCATCAAGATCAAGAGAAAAGACTGTGAACCTCTGAATTCTTTCCTGATATGTGTATCCACACATTTCGGACATTCTTGTAAAACTTTCCTCCACCCTCTCCAGTGCCTCTATATCTTTACTACAATAAGGTGACCATAATTACATATGTTACTTTAAGTTTGGTTTAACCAAGTTTTGATTGAGGCATACTTCTGTTACATCAAATTCTATCCCTCTTGAAATAAAGTCTATTGCTTAGTTTGGCTTTTTACGATCTTGCTAATAAGTGACACAACTCTTGGTAACTGATGTATTTGTACTCACCTAACCCATCGAGATTAGGTTGTTTCTCTAACCTGCTTAAATTTGTCTCTTCAAAGCAACAAGTGACCACCTCATTCACCCCACGAACAGGCATTATCTTACTTTTATCTGTATTGACTTTTATCTAAACTATGACTGCCCTATTCAGGCATAATCAGCTTGAACACATTACACTCATGTTCTAACAGAATTCTGTATGTTATTCAATGTAAATAAACAATCTCCTTAACGACAGAAAGTGACACACATTTGAAAGAAACATGCAAGAATTGTAATGTGACATTTCATATAGCATCCCAGAAATATTCAAGAATTGCCAGTCATTTCTCTGGAACTTCAGTTTTGTCTGAGTTATTTCAATTTGCTTTCAAATAGCCCCAAGTTCAATACTTCATAATTTAGATATTGCGATAAATATCTAATTTTACTATCACTGTTATTGTTTGTTTAAAAATATGTTTGAGGTTGTTGGCTGGTGCAATTTATTACATCTATTATTATGGCCACAAATTAGCAAGTATGTTTGAAAATTAAGATTTTAATTGATTATCACTTTGGGGAGACAAGAGATTTAGAGTGAACATTGATATAAGAAAGACGAAAAAATATGATGACTTAAGTCATAGAACTGCGGATGCTGGAAATCAGAAACAATATCAGAAATTGCTCGAAAAACTCAACAGGTCTGGCAGCATCTGCTGACAGGAAGCAAAGTTAACATTTTGGGTCCAGTGACTTTTCTTCAGAACTGATTGTAACTAGAAAAAGTTTGGTATATACACTAGAGAAGAGGTGGGGTGTTCTAGTTTGTTGAGGAGTAAATAATAAGTGGAGATGGGAGTCCAGAGGGAGAATAAAACAGTTAGGCAGACAAAATAATGGATAAAGGTCAGCCTGAGATAATCAATAACTACCAATGGGGACTGTTAGTAGCTGACAACAGGTTGTTTGTGGTAGTAGACCATATGATGACCAGGCCTGGTATGTGGGGGTTGGGGGAAAGACATAGGAAAAGGTGCTTAAGCCCTAAAATTGCTGAAATTGATATTGAGTCCGGAAGGTTGCAAGGTTCCCAAGCAGAAAAGGAGGTGTTGCTTTTCCAGCTGGTGTCGAGCATGGCTGGATCACGAGATAGAGATGTTGGCTAGGTAACATGATGTGCGTTGAAATGGCAGGCGACCAGAAGTTCAGATGGGATGGTAAGTGAGGATAAGGGGGACTCTTTTGCTGTTGGGGGCCAGCATCTACATCCCAAGGATCATTAGATTCCATTTACACCACCTCTAGCAGGATGCCACCACCAGATACATTTTCTCCTCCTCTGTCTTGTCAACCTTTCGCAGAGACCATTCCCTCTGGGACACCTTGATACACTTCTTCCAAATCTCCCCACACCTCCATGGCACCTTCCCCTGCAAATCTCCTCACTGTCCAAGGTCCCAGACATACCTTCTAGGTGAAGCAGCAATTTATCTGCACTTTACTCAATCTAGGCTACTGTATTTGCTGTTCATAACATGGTCTTCTCTACATTCGGGAGATGAAGCACAGACTGGGTGACTGTTTTGCACAACACCTATGTTGTTTCCACAAAAATGGCCTTGAGCTTCTGGTTGCCTGCCATTTCAATACAACACTGTGTTCCTGGATCGAAATCTGTTTCAGGCTTGCTACAGTGCTCCAGCGAAGCTCAGCCTAAGAACAGCATCTCATTTTCTGCTTGGGAACCCTATTTACTTAATGCTTAGATAACAAGGTGTAGAGCTGGATGAACACAGCAGGCCAAGCAGCATCAGAGGAGCAGGAAGGCTGACGTTTTGCTTGTTTGCTTAGAAATTGCTTAGTGCATAATAATTTCATGCATCTTATTCTAGCTACAATCAGTTCTGAAGAAGTGTCCCTGGACCCGAAGTGTTAACTTTGCTTTCTCTTGACAGATGCTGCCAGACCTAGAGTTTTTCCAGCAATTTCCGATGATGATTTTGATCTGTATTACAGATTTATACACAGTTATCATGTCATAACATTGAGTTATATCAAAGCAGAGAACTCCAGGTGGAATTCCAGATTCCTGGGGCTCAACTGTTCAGATATTAGGAATGGAAGTACACACTAACTCCAGCAGTGGGATACAACTTTAATTCTTTGTCATTTTCATATTTAAAATTGGCTGATTCTGACTTACTTGATAATTGGCTGGATTTAAGCTAAATTATTCAAATCAGAGTCAGAGGGCAGACGCAGGTTCTATTTCACTATAATGAGAGAGATCACCAATAATATGTACGTCATTCCTAATCACCACGCTTCCATTTTGAGTAGAGGCACTCGTGGTTTTGAACCTTTGTTTAGCATTTGTAGAAGAAACTGAATTGATTTCAGTGTGCTGTGAACCAATCTACATCACAGAACTTCAGCTCTAGGACCGCAGGAAGGTAGTGCAGATTTTTCATTTCTCTTAGAAGATTGCAACAAGCAACAGGCATAAAAGATACCAATGGTAAAGGAAAGCACAGCTGCAACTGGATATTCTAGATGTTAGTTTGTTCTTTCAGTAAAGAGTGACAGAGAATGAAGCTGCCACTGCTTCTAATGATTTGGCGGAAGCAGACATCCTGGATTTTCTCAGAGATAGTAGGAACTGC